ACTACAGAACACCACTGCAAGAAACCCAAAGGGATCTACATAAACGGAAAAACACACCATGCTCATGGATAGGTAGACTCAACATTGTGAAAATGACAATTCTACCCAAAGCAATTTACAAATACAATGCGAACCCAATCCAAATACCAACAACATTCTTTAAAGAGATGGAAAAACTAATCATGAACTTTATATGGAAATAGAAGAAGCCCCGAATAAGTAAAGCACTACTGAAGAAGAATAAAGTTGGAGGACTCACACTACCTGACCTCAGAACCTACTATACAACTACGGTAGTCAAAACTGCCTGGTACTGGTACAACGACAGATAAACGCTGACTAATGGAACAGAATTGAGAACACAGACCACCCACCAATGGTCACCTGATCATCGACAAGGGGCCAAATCCATCAAGTGGGGCACAGACGATCTTTTTAACAAATTGTGCTGGCAAAATTGGATGTCCATCTGCAAAAAAATGAAACAGGACCCCTACCTCACACCATATACAAAAACTAATTCAAAATGGATCAAAGACCTAAATATAAAGCCAAAAACTATCAAGTTCATAGAAGAAAAAACAGGATCAATGTTAGAGGCCCTAATACACGGCATTAACAGGATACAAACCATAACCAACAACACACATACTCCAGAAGATAAGCTAGATTACTGGGATCTTCTAAAAATTAAACACTTACGCTCAGCAAAAGACTTCACCAAAAGAGTAAAAAGAGAACCTACAGATTGTGAAAATTTTTTTTGACATTACAAGTCAGAAAAAGGTCTAATCTCTAAAATCTATAAGAAATTCCAACACCTCTACAACAAAAAGACAAATAATCCTATTAAAAAATGGACAAAGGAAATGAACAGACGCTTCACCAAAGAAGACACTGAAGCGGCCAACAGACACATGAGGAAATGCTCGCGATCACTAGCCATTAGAGAAATGCAAATAAAAACCACAACGAGATACCATCTCACCCCACCATTACTGGCACAAATCAAAAAAAACTGGAAATAACAAATGTTGGAGAGGCTGCGAGGAGATCAGAACTCTTATGCACTGCTGGTGGCAATGCAAACTGATACTACCATTTTGAAAAACGATATGGAGCTTCCTTAGAAAGCTAGAGATGGAAATACCATATGATCCAGCAATTCCACTCCTAGGAATAAGAAATAAGAGCCATCACATGAATAGACGTTTGCACAACCATGTTCATGGCAGCATTGTTCACAATAGCAAAAAGATGGAAACAACCTAGATGCCCATCAACAGATGAATGGATAAATAAACTATGGTACATACACACAATGGCGTATTATGCAACGATAAAGAACAATGAATCTGTGAAGCATCTCATAACATGGATGAAACTGAAGGACGTTATGCTGAGTTAAATAATCACAAAAGGACAAATACTGTATGAGACCACTACTGTAAAAACTCATGAAAAAGTTTACACACAAAGAGAAACAATCTTTGTTGGTTATGAGGGATGGGAGGGGTAGGGGAGGAAATACTAAACAGACAATAGATAAGTGGTAACTTTGGTGAAGGGGAGACAGTGCACAACACTGGGGAAGCCAGAACAACTTCTACAAAGGAAGGTCATGGAAGCTCCATAGACACATCCAAACTCCCTGAGGGACCGAATTGCTGGGTGGAAGGCTGTGGGGACCATGGTCTTGGGGAACATCTAGTTCAACTGGCATAACACAGTTTATTAAGAAAATGTTCTACATTCTACCTTGGTGAGTAGTGTCTGTAAGCAGCCATCTAAGATACTACACTGGTCTCACCCTTTCGGGAGCAAGGGGGAATGAAGAAAACAAGATACAAGGGAAAGATTAGTCCAAAGGACTAATGGACCACCACTACCACGGCCTCCACCAGACTGAGTCCAGTACAACTAGATGGTGCCCGGCTCCCACCACTGACTGCTCTGACAGGGATCACAACAGAGGGTCCCAGACAGAGCTGGAGAAAAATGTAGAATAAAATTCTAACTCACAAAAAAAGACCAGACTTACTGGCCTTCCAGAGACTGGAGAAAACCCCAAGAGTATGGCCCCCGGACACCCTTTTAGCTCAGTAATGAAGTGACTCCCAACGTTCACCGTTCACCCAAAGATTAGACAGCCCCATAAAACAAAATGAGACTAAAGGGGCACAACAGTCCAGGGACAAGGACTAAAAGGCAGGAGGGGACAGGAAAGCTGGTGACAGGGAACTCAAGGTTGAGAAAGGACAGTGTTGACATGTTGTGGGGTTGTTAACCAATGTCATAGGGCAATATGTGTACTAACTGTTTAATGAGAAATTATTTGTTCCGTAAACCTTCATCTAAAGTACAATAAAAAACATGCTAGTTATTATCATCAGATGGAAGTTGGTGTGCGGATCTCAATAAACGTTAACTATTATTATTTTCAGGTGACTGGGTGGCGCAACTATTAAGTGCTCGACTACTAACTAAAAGGTTGGCGGTTCGAACCCCCTCAGAGGCACCTCGGAAGACAGGCCTGGCAGTGGAGTTACTGGGGGGAGTGGGCGGCCAGAGGATGCGGGCCACAGCAGGTGACACTGTCAGAGGGGGTGACACCAAAATGACTGTCTATAAGATTTTTGTGCAGTGTTTCAGTGAAATTTATTATTTTTTATTAAACTATCCGACTCAACAGCACCTAACAACAACATGGGAAGAAAGCTTATTAGCCCCATTTTAACGAAGGAGGAGACTGAAAGTAGACTACCAAGAGACCCAAACCCTACGCCTTCTCACTGCCCCGTCAGTGCCATCCTAGGCTAGCCCCCCATCGCCTCTTGCCTGGACCACTGTGCCCCCTACTGTCCATTCTCTATACCGAAACCAGGAGGATCCTTATAAAACATAACTCATGTCACTTTCCAACTCAGAACACGCCGGTGACTTCCCGCCTTGTTCAGAAGTAAATGCAATTGTCTTAGGACAGTCTCTGAGGCCCTGCAAGGCTTCTGACCCCATCCCCCAGCCCTCTGCCTCTTCTCCTAGCCCCTCCTGTGGACACCAGCCCCCTTGCTGCTGCAGAAGCACCATACGAGAACAAGAACAAGAACGTCATCTGTACGGTTCACCGCTGAGCCCCCAGTGCCTAGAACTTGCAATAATATTTGTAGTACTCAGTAATATTTGTTGAGTGAAGGAAGGAATGAAAAAACATTCCCAAGGTCACCAGCTGGCCAGGGAGGGAGTTGGGTTCACACTAAGAGTTGGGCTCACACCAGTGGGTTCACAGCTTCCTGGTGAACACACTCAGTGGTGGGGCCCTCGTCTGGATTAAAAGTCAGAAAGCCCTGAACAAGGATGGGCCACCATCATGATGATGCCCTCATGAGTGTCTCTGCCCACCGGGGCCATCTCCCCTTCGAAGCTTGGCTTGGGCATCACTTCCTGAGGCAGTCCCCACCCCTTCTCTTACTCTCTGGGTGCCACTGAATTGGCTCGGACTCAAGCGACCCCACGTACAACAGAATGAAACAATATTTCTGGTCCTGTGCCATCTTCACAGAAGTTGGTATGCTTGAGCCCACTGTCGACGCCACTGGGTCAACCATACTCACAAGTGGGAGTGTTATTATGGGAGCGGCGGGCACCTACTGTGCGCAGAGTGGGAGCGTTATTACAGGAGGGGCAGGCACTGGGCACCTATTGTGTGCAGAGTGGGAGTGTTATTATGGGAGCAGCAGGCATCAGGCACCTACAGTGTCTGAGTGGGAGTGTTATTACGGGAGGGGTGGGCACCGGGCACCTACTGTGTGCAGAGCGGGAGCGTTATCATGGGAGCGGCAGGCACGGGCACTTACTGTGTGCAGAGTGGGGGTGTTATTATGGAGTGGCGGGCACCGGGCTGTCTAAGGCCCTCATGTGCACCACCTTGTCCAGTCCTCAGACAGCGCCATGATGGGGTGGGGTGCCACAATGTCCCCATCTCACAGAGGGGGAGACTGAGGTCTAGAGAGGTCGGCAACCTTCTCGAAGCTGCGGAAGAGCGAAAGCAGCCGGACGCTGAGTCCACAGTCAACTGCTCCAGGTTCCATCCACTGTGATGCACTTGTAATGTCCCTTCCTAGCTCAGGGTCCACATTTCTGTCTTTCGACAGCGCTGAGGGCTGCCTGCGGCAGGGGCTGTGTGTCTTGTTCACCGTCATGTCCTGGTGGTCCCTTGCCACTTTGGAGGGCTCAGGGGCTCAGAGCCAGCCTGTGAGCCTTCGCCTCCCCTATTCCAGAGCTGTACGAGGTACACAGGGAGAAAACAGGGTGTGCCAGCACTCGAACCCAGGCCTCCTCACGTCAAGCCCAGAATGCCTTCCCCCCATCCTTGTACACAAATGACACGCATGTCCACGGGTCTGTTTTTGAGATGTTATGGATTGAACTGTGCCCCCACAATACGTACTGAAGTCCTGGCACCTATACCTGTGAATGTGATCATTTTGGAAATAGGGTTTTCTCTGTTAGGCTAATGAAGTCACACCATTTTAGGGCGGGTCCTGAACCTAACTCCTTCTGAGTTATGAAAAGAGCAGAAAAGACACAGAGACATACCCAGAGGAAAGACAGGCGCTGTGCGAGGCCACTTAACAAGCAAAGGAACACCAAGGATGGCCAGCAGACACCAGAAACTAAGAGAAGCCAAGGAAGGAATCGAAACGGCCGACTGCCTGACTGGACTTTTAGCCCCCAGAACTGTGGGACAATAAATGCACGCTCTTCAAAGCACCCCAGAAATGGATGGGGCCTCACATGTGACCCAGAACAACCTCCCACATTCCAGCGTGGACAGAGAGGACCATCGAGAGGACGTGACTTGCCTGTGGTCACATGGCCAATGAGTGCCAGAGCTGTACCTGAACCTGGGTCTGTGGGGTGCCTGGCCCAGGAGGGGCGACGTTCTCACGCACACACAACCCTCAGGCCTCTCTGCAGGCCCCGCCCTGAAGGTCACCCACCTGGCAGAGCATAGCCATGGCCTCAGTAGTTTTGATGTCGTCCTCTTCCTCCAGGTGGCTCCGTGTCAGCCTCTGCCTCTCCAGGACCTCGTGAAACGCCTGTAAGTGAAACGGGAGCTGAACCCCAGTGGGCTTGTCTACGTCGCTCGGCTGGCACGTGGGAGGTGCAGTTCTAATCTCATGTCTGATGGATGTCAAGGCCTCCCTCTTCCCGTGCACGGTAAGGGGACCAAGTCACAGCCCAGCACCCCCGCAGGGCTGCACCCGGCGACGGTGCCTCGGACGTGGGCGAGGATCAGGAGCAGGTCACCTTGAGGAATCCCTCCGGGTCGGCGGCTGGCTGAGCCTCGGCCAGGAAGCCTCTCTGCTCATCGTCGTGGGCCAGCGCGAGTCTGCCCATGGCCTCCGCCTGGTAAGCCAGCGATGCTCTGACGAGGTCTTTGCCCCACTGGACAAGCTCTGCAGTTGAAGGAAGCACATAACATCACAGCTCACTCTTGTAACGAGACTTCCAGTGGCTTCTCCTGCCAGCCCTGAACAGGGGTGAGACGTGGGGGCAAATCCCATTGTTCTTTCAGTTTTGTCATTGAGGCTCGTGTAGGGAGTCCCTGGCCCCTCAAAGCCCTGGCTCCCTCATTATTTGAAGGGACCTCCCATGGCCCCTGGGTCCAGGACTCAGGGTCTCACTAGAGGCTCCAGTTAGCTGCTGTGCACAGCACTGGGCGACGTGACTGGGACATAAATAAGATGCATTTCCTGGGAGAAGGCAGAGAGGACGTTAGCTCTGGACAAAAGAGAGTGCGAGAGAGGGGCTAGGTGGGTGGGTACCGGTGACATGAGAGGGCAGACGAGTCTGAGTCTGCAGGGGAGACCGGAACATTCTAGACTCGAGTCGAGGTTCAAAACTCACAAGGACGAGTGCTATGGATTCAATTCTGTCCCCCGCAAATACGTGTCCAAGTCCTCACCACAGTACCTGTGCCTGTGACCCTGAAGAAATAGGGGTTTTCTTTTTTATGTTACTGAGGTCACACGGAGCAGGGTGGGTCCTAAACCTAATCCCTTCTGGGTGGTCTCTTATAAAAAGAGCAGAACAGACACAGAGAGAGACACGGGGGAAGACAGACACCATGAAGACACACCTACAAGCAGCCAAGGAACATCAAGAAACGCCCGGGGCTACAGACGCAGAAAGAGACAAGGGTCTTCCTCAGGAGCCCTCAGGGGAGAGAGAGGCTAGCTCTGAATGCCCTGAATTCAGACACCAGCCTCCAGAATGTGAGATAATACATTTCTGTTGCTTAAAGCCACCCACTTGGTGGCATTTTGGGATGGTGGCCCCAGGAGGCTAACTGTCCCCAGCAGACCGGGAACTGCAGCCTGGGTGCTGTCTCACGGGCCATGTGGCTCCATGTCTCCCGACTCGTGGAAGTGCTGCCCCTAGCCTGGGCTCCTACACCTCAGCAGCTTTCGGGACCCTAGAAGGACCATGTCCCAGACCAGGGTGCCAGGGCCCTGCCCACTCACCCCTGCTGAAGCGCACAGCCTCCTCCCAGAAGGACCATGTCCCAGACCAGGGTACCACAGCCCTGCTCACTCACCCCTGCTGAAGCGC